CTCTCTCTCTCTCTCTCTCTCTCTCTCTCTCTCTCTTTCTTCTTTTTTTTTGTGGTACCAGGGACCAAACTCAGGACCTTGCACTTGCCAGGCAGGCACTTGCCAGGCTAGAGCATTTCTTAAAATCTTTTTTTTCTTCGGTGGCAGGGGATTGCATACCAAGCACCACATTCAGGACCTCGTGCTTGCCAGGCAGGCGCTGCACTGCTGAAAATCTTAATCTGTACTTTTACTTTGTGGTTTGTGACTCATAGGTCTTGCTGGAAGTTCAGATTCTTTAAAAACATGGATTTCAAGATTATTATGGATTTAAAGGGTGCCTTACAAAGAATGATCAAATGAAGGTGGAGGGGGCAACACAGACTCCCGGCAGTCCCGGAGGCTGAGGCAGGAGCACCACAAGTTTGAGCCTACTCTAAGTGACTTAGGCAAGACTCAGTGACTTAGCAAGACTCTCTCAAGATGAAGAATAAAAAAGGCTGAAGAGGGAGGGAATGAGGGAGGGAGGGAGGGAGAGATCAAACTGAAAAGCACCTCGGCCTCTGACTGGGCTTCCAACATCATTGTTGCCATTTTTCAATTCTCCCGAAAGGTTTTTGTTTTAAAATGGGCTAGTCAGGGCCAGAGAGATGGCTCAGTAGAATAAGTGCTTCCCTGGCAAGCGCAAGGGTCTGAGTTCAATCCCTGGTTCCGCAAAAAATAAAATTAAATTAAAAATAAAGAAAAAGAAACTAAGAAATTAAATAAATAAATAAACAAACAAAGCGGGCTAGTCAATTTCTGGCCCCCCGTTTTGGAGCTAGAGCAGTGAGCTCACTATGTAGCCCCAGCTGACCTCAAGCTCAGGGCCATCCTCCCGCCTCAGCCTTTTGTGCCGACATTACAGAGCACGTGACAGGACCACCCTGCTGGCCTGGCTTCCTGTTTACCTCATATATGAATCAGGAGATGATTAAGAGGTGTGGCGACTTTGGGGAAAACGTACAACAGTATTTAGGGAATCCTCTTTCCATGTATTTGGAGTATGCAGAGAGGAAAATTGGGGGCAGTAAAACCATTCAGAATGGATCTATTTATGTATATTGGATATATATATTCAAAACACTCCCTTCGTAGGGAGCGTCCCCCAGATGGATGCGCCTCTGGGCTAAGTCCCTAGCAGGCTCCTACGGTGCTGTCTCAGGTCCGCCATCCGCATCACCAAAGCTGTGTGAGAGCCAGTCGTGAGTAGGGCAGCTCTCCCCGCCTGAGCACCCAGGTCTGTGCCCTACACCACTACCATTAAACCTTCAGATAACCCCCAAAGCAGGGTTTTTTGAAATTCTACTTTACAGAAGAGTCAACTGAGGCCAGAGGGGTTCGCCAGAGCAAGAGTCCGCGTCTTGCTCCCTCCATTCAATCTCCAACCCTGTCTCTGGCCCTACACCTTCCTCCGACCCTTACTTTCCCATGGTGCTATGGCTGTAAATCATTAATTTTCTAAGAACAAGTCTTTGCTTGGTCCAAAAATTGTCCACCCAGGGTTCTTATAATTTTATAGAAAAAGATGAGGGTGGGGAAAAATATAAAATTATAATTAGAAGCCTCTGGCTAACAAAGACCGCCCAAAACTAAAGATAGAAGCATCTTGGCATAGGACTGTGTATGCCGAAAGGGCACCGTGAGCCTTCCAATGGCATTCAGAATGGTGCCTAGCAGAAAGGAAGATGGGTCCTGATTCCATCTTCTCAGTGCTCCCTGTGCCCTTTAGTCTTAGTGGTAGTGGTTTTGTTAGCCCAAAGAAAGCCTCCCATTGAGAATCCCCCAGTGTGGGCTCGCCAGGTCAGGGCAGTGGGGGCAGCTGCCCAGAGGGACCCAGAAGTGCCAGTTCCTCAGAGGCTGCCCTTTCCCAGCCCAGAGCTGCTGGGACAGCTGATGGGATGCCCAGCTGAGGGACTCCCTGGTTGTGGGTCAGGGAAGGGGAACTGATGTCACACCTTCTCCCTGCCCCACAGTGTTTCCGAATCCAGGGTGAGGACCCCCAGGACCGGGTGAAGTGGTCAGAGGCACAGTTTTCCTGTGAACAGCAAGAGGCCCAGCTGGTCACCATTGCAAATCCCTTAGAACAAGGTAGAGTCAGCTGGGGGCAGCCCCTGTTCTTACACACAGCTCCCCTATGCAGCCAAAGCACAGCAGGCACAAGCAGCCTCCTCACTCACCTTTTTTCGGGGGGGACTATAGCATTCATCACTGCCAGCCTACCCAATGTGACCTTTGACCTTTGGATTGGCTTGCACGCCTCCCAGAGAGACTTCCAGTGGGTGGAGCAGGAGCCTGTGCTGTATACCAACTGGGCACCCGGGGAACCCTCTGGGCCCAGCCCAGCTCCCAGTGGCAACAGACCGGTGAGGACCCCACTGCACCCCCTGCTCCCCACTGCCCTCCTCTGTGCTGCTGCCTTTACCGCTGTTCTCCCATGCCAGTCTTTGCTATCTTTTGGGGGCAGCTGCCAGGGCCCCCCTGAGCCCCCCTTTTTCCTCAGACCAGCTGTGCAGTGGTTCTGCACAGCCCTGCAGCACACTTCGCTGGCCGGTGGGACGATCGAAGCTGTGCAGAGGAAACACACGGCTTCATCTGCCAGAAGGGCACAGGTAGCTGCTGTGAGAGACTTGGAAAGGCAGCAGTGGGCCGCCTGCGACAGTGCTGGGGGCCGTGGGGTCACCCTGAGTGGTGTTTGCTTGGGAAGCAAATGGGTGGAAAGGTTGGGGACCAGTGAGACGGCAGGGCATGAGCACTGACCTCCCTGGTCTCAGGAGCAGGAGGGGGCACAAAGCGTTGCCCAGTGGGCATATCCGGAGGCCCAGGCTCCAGCTTCCGCCCCAGGGCATTAGCAAACACTTCATACTGACAGAACAGTAGTTGACACTTAGCCAGGGCTTGCCATTTGTGCCAAGCACCGTGAAGACTGGGCCTTTGCCTGCTGCTCAGGAACTGAGGGAGGTGGGCAGAGCCCACCGGAGCCCTCTCCCCTTCCTGCAGACCCTGCCCTGAGTCCGTCCCCAGCGGCCCTGCCACCTGCCCCAGGCACTGAGCTCTCCTACCTCAACGGCACCTTCCGGCTGCTGCAGAAGCCACTCCGCTGGCACGATGCCCTGCTGCTGTGCGAGAGCCGCAACGCTAGCCTGGCCCGCGTGCCCGACCCCTACACCCAGGCCTTCCTGACGCAGGCTGCCCGAGGACTGCGGGCGCCGCTGTGGATCGGGCTGGCCAGTCCGGAGGTGGGTTTCCAGAGCGCTGGCCCTGGCGTGCCTCCCACCCAAGTGCTGCCTTGATTTCCCTCCCTGGCCCCCTGGCCCCCTGGCCCCTGCCTTGTCTGCCCCCACCCTGACTGTCCCCTTCTCCCACGACGACACCTTGTGCCCAGAGCTCCAAGAGGTATGCCTGGGTCTCGGAGGAACCTCTGAGCTACGTGAGCTGGCGGGATGGCGAGCCCCAGCAGGCAGGGGGCTGTGCTTATGTGGATGTGGATGGGGCCTGGCGCACCACCAGCTGTGACACCAAGCTGCAGGGGGCCGTGTGCGGGGTTGGCGGTGAGTGCCATCTGCAGGATCGAACCCACATCAAGGTATCGGTGGTCCCGGGAGGATCCGGGCCACTTCCTCAGTGCCGCACCCCCGCAGGGACCCCGCCTCCTCGGAGAGCGAGCGCCAGTGGCAGCTGTCCCCAGACCCTGGCTGACTCCGCCTGGATCCCCTTCAGGGAGCACTGCTACGCCTTCCACCCGGAGCTGCGGCTAGGCCGCCAGGAGGCGCTGCGGCGCTGCCAGAGAGGTAGAGGGTTGTCGGAGCTCCAGGCGTTTCCAGGGCAGCCTCCTGGCAGCACGCAGCCGGGCAGCGGGCCCTTGCCGCCCCACCCAGTGGTGATACTGCCAACCACCCCGGCACTAATGCGCAGGAACCT